TAACAATATATAGAACTTTTTTTTTTATCAGCCCAGAAAGTTTTCTTGTCCTTTACTGTCTAATTCCTGCTCCTCATCCCAAGCAACTAGTCTTTTTTTTTTTTTGAGTTGGAGCCTTGCTCTTGTTGCCCAGGCTGGAGTGCAATGGCACAATCTTGGCTCACTGCAACCTCCTCCACCTGCCAGGTTCCAGCAATTCCCCTGCCTCAGCCTCCCAAGTAGCTGGAATTATAGGAGCATACCGCCGCACCTGGCTAATTTCTGTATTTTCAGTAGAGACAGGATTTCACCATTTTGGCCAGGCTGGTCTGGAATTCCTGATCTTAAGTGATTTGCCCATCTCGGCCTCCCAAACTGCTGGGATTACAGTTGTGAGCCACTGCGCCCGGGCTGCTACCACTAGTCTTGATGTCAACATAGATGAGTGTTTTCTTCTGTAGAACATCATATAGTTCTTTTGTGTCTGGTTTCCTTTATTCAGCCTAAAGTTTCTGAGATTCGGTGGTTTGTCTCCTTCGTTGCCTGACAGTATTGTGTTGCATGGATCCGGCCACAGTCTACTGCCAGTTAGTTTTTGGTTATTGCAAATAAAGCTGCCATGAATGTTCCTGTACAAGCCTTTTTGTGGATATTTATTTTCATTTCTTTTGGGTTACTAAGTACTTAGTAGTGGAATTTCTGGGTTTTAGAGTAAAGTTTAACTTTTTTTTCCCCCCAAAGTTTTACCCGTTTGTTGTCAAAAGTTATGTTTAACTTTTTAAGAAACTTCCAAACAGCTTTCCAGAGTAGCTGTATCATTTTATATTTCCATCAGCAACGTCAGAGAATTCCGCTTGCTCTATGTCCTCACCAACATTTGGTGGTGTCAGTCTTTCGCTTTTCCTGCTCTAGAGGATATGCAGTGGTATCTCCCTTAATTCGCATTTCCCTGATGACCAGTGATGTTGAGCATTTCTTCCTGTGCTTATTGACCATGTATGTCATTTTTGGAGAAATGTCTATTAAAGTCTTTGGCCTATTTTAATAAATTGGAGGCTGGGTGTGGTGGCTTACACCTTTAATCTCAGCATTTTGGGAGGCTGAGGTGGGAGGATTGCTTGAGGACAGGAGTTCAAGATTAGCCTTGAAAAAAGCCAGGCATGGTAGTGCATGCCTATGGTCCCAGCTAATCAGGAGGCAGAGGTGGGAGGATCGCTTGAGCCCAGGAGTTCAAGGCTGCAGTGAGCTGTGAACATGCCACTGCACTCCAGCCTGGACAACAGTGAAACAGTTTCTCTAAAAATAAATAAATAGGTAAGTAAATACATAAATAGGGTTTATTGTCTTTTTGTTACTGGAGCGTAAGAGTTCTTTATATATTCTGGATATTTATCTTTTGTTGTTGCTGTTGTGTGTGTGTGTGTGTGTGTGTGTGTGTGTGTGTGTTTGTGAATGTTTTCTCCCAATCTCTGCTTACCTATTTGTTTTTTTATCTTTTGATGCACAGATGTTTGTAATTTTATTGGAGTTTTATTTGCCATTATTTTTACATTTATAGTAAGTGCTTTTTGTATCTTCTCCTAAGAAATGTTTTCATACTTTAAGGTCACAATGAAAGACTCCTAGGTTTTTTTTAAAGGTTTCTATTTCTTGCATTTATTAGGTCTACTGTCTATCTCTAATAAGGGTGTGTGTGGTATGAAGTAGGGACTGAGAATGTGTTTTCCTGCATATGGATGTACAGCTTTTCTAGCCTCGTTGGTTAGAAGAACCTTTTCTTCCTCTGTTGAAGTATTTTGGCTCTTTTCTTGAAAATAATGTGTGCGTTCACTCCTGAACTTTCTGGTCTGTTCCATTGTTCTGTTTGTTTATTCTTTATCAGTACTATACTGCCTTAATTACTACAGCCTTATAGTAACTTTTGAAGTCTAAAGAACAAGCAGGAGAAGAACACTGTTTGGAAGCGCAGAAATGCAGGCAGGGGAGTTTCATTAAGTGCTGTCCTAGTGCAGTCCAGGCTGTGGGGATGAGGAAGGACAGATTTAGAGAAATAGTTCAGAGAGGAAGCTCCTGGGAATGGTGAGGGATTGGCTTTTACCGCAGGGACCTGCAGGCATTCCATCTGTGTTTGTTTCTAGGGAAAGAGGAATGGTGAATGTAACAGGCTCAGGGACATGAAAACTCTGCAGGCTTCATATGTGCAGCCCTGGGTCTATAATTTTCAACTTCCTCCTGTGGCGATAGAAGCGTCTTTTGAATTCTGCCTGTTTTTGTTTCTGAGTTCAAGCAAGGGGCTTGTTCAGAGCTAGCCAGGTTCCTGGAAGCACCTTGGGAAGACCCTTCCTCAGGGAGAGAGCCCCACAAGGGACCATGCTCAGGTAATGCAGGGAACAGGGGCCCTGGGGGGAATCAGAACTGGGTGGAAGTCCTGGTCCTGCTGTCTAACAGCCCTGGGACCTTGGCAAATCTCTTGAGCCACCATCACCTCCTGTATTATAATTATATGAAAATGGTCCCTGCAGACCTACTAGGTAGCGCGATCATAGAGCTTCCACAGAGGAGGAGTGGGAACATATTTGGCATATGGCAGGGGACTTTACTCTTTTCCACCATCTATCTTTTCCTCCTCCTTTCCCTCTCCTCTTTTCCTCTTCTATTCTCCCTCTGTCAGTCTTCACCTTGTTGCCCTGAACATTTTATCACTTTTAATAGTATCTGGGAGAATTAAATGCATGAGGAGGGATTGGGTCCAATCCTTCATCATGCAGTTGCTGGGGAATAAGATGGGGCCTGGTCATAATAGCTATCATTTCTGTAGACCTGCTCAGTCAGGTGCTTCACACCCATTCTTTATTCTTCACAAAAGCTCCGCAAGGTGGGCTTATTATCTTTGTTTTGCAAGCGAGAGTACAGAAGCTCAGGCTGGTCTCTCTGGCTGTCCAGCCCCACTCAATCTCTCTCGACTGCTCTTGGCCATCTGCGTTTGCTGATGTGGTCATAAACATCTCTGAAGTGCCTGCTGTGTGTGAGGCCCTATCTGGGCTGCGTGCAATGGCCAAGGCACGAGCCGTTACGTTAGGTGGCTCTACGGTATTACTCACATATCCTCTTTGGGAATGGTACTCCCAAGAGTTAGGATTGAGGGGGCCTTGAGAACTGTTCTGAAGGAACTCATAGTCTGTAAGGCAGACAAAACTAATTAAAATGAGCAAAAGATTTGAAAGATACTTTAACAGAAGAATGTGTACAAATGCCCAGTAGCATATGAAAAGACGCTCAGCGTTACTAGTTCTTAGGAAAATGCAAATTAAAATCACAATGAGATACTACTACGTACCCACTAGAATGGTGAACATTAGAAAGACAATCCCAAGTGCTGGTAAGAAGGTGAAGCAGCTGTAACTTTGATACATCATTGGAAGGAATGCAAAATGGTACAATTACTTTGGTAGTTTGCTGGCTTCTTAAAATGTTGTGTGTACACTATGTATATTCTGCTTTTATGTGGCTGATAAAGACATACCTGAGGGTAATTTATAAATAAAAATAGGTTTACTGGACTCACAGTTTCACAGGGCTGTAGAGGCCTCACAATCATGGCAGAAGGTGAAAGGCACGTTTTACTTGGCAGCAGGCAAGAGAGAATGAGGACCAAGAGAAAGGGGAACCTCTAATGAAACTGTCAGATCTCATGAGACTTATTCACTACCACAAGAACAGTATGGGGGAAACAGCCCCCGTGATTCAATTACCTCCCACTGGGTTCCTCCCACAATATGTGAGAATTATGGGAGCTACAGGTCAAGATGAAATTTGGGTGAGGACACAGCCAGACCATATATCAACTTATGCTTATTAAAACCTAGGAATTCTACTCCAAGGAAAATGAAGCCTATCTCTATCTGAAGATAGGTATGCACATGTTCATAGCAGCTTTATTTGTAATAGCCCTGTCTTAGTTCTGATTTCTATTGCTTATAACAGAATACCTGAAACTGGGTAATTTATAAGGAAAGGAATATATTTCTTACAGTTCTGGTGGTTGAAAAGGCCAAGGGCAAGGGGCTGCATCTGATGAGGGCCTTCTTGCTGGTGTGTACTCTCTGAAGAGTCCCAAGGATATCAATGGCAAGTTTGCTAATGTATTATGATCAGGACTCTCTTTCTCTTTTTATAAAGCTACCAATTCTACTCCCATGATAACCCATTAGTCCATTAACCCTTTAATTCATTCATGAGAGCAGAGCCATCATGGTCCAATCACATCTTAAAGGTCCCACCTGTCAACACTGCACATTGGGGATTAAGTTTCACCATGCATTTTTGGAGGGAACATTGAAACCATAGCAAGCCCCAAACTGGAACCAGCCCAAATGATCATCAGCTGGTAAACAGCTAAACAAATTGTGCTTTGTCCATACAAAGGAATACTACTTGGCAATGAAAAAGGATGAAAAAGCAATGCAGGCAACAACCTGGACTAATCTCAAGGGTGTGTTAAACAAGCCAGACACAAAAGACAACAAACTTTGAGGATGGGAGAAATTAGAATCTTTGTTCACTATTTGATGGAATGTACAACAATGCAGGTGCTGTGGAAAACAGTATGGAAATTTCTCAAAAAAGTTAAAAATAGAATTACCATATGATTCAGCAATTTCACTTCTTGGACTATATTTCCCAAAATTGAAAGCAGAGTCTCAAAGAGATATTTGTATACCCATGTTCATAACAACGTTATTCATAATAGCTAAAACGTGGAAACAAACCAAGGGATGAAAGGCTAAGCAAAATGTAGTGTTAGTGTTTAATGGACATAGAGTTTCGGTTTTGTAAGATGAAAAAGATCTGGTGATGGGTGGTTGAGATGGCTGCAAAACGATGTGAATGTATCTAATGCCACTGAACTGTATACCTAAAAATAGTTACGATGGTAAGTTTGATGTGTATTTACCATAAACACACATTTACATGGGGATTTGGGGAGGGCACTGACTGCAGAGGCACGGGGGGCTTGGTGGGGCACTTGGGAGTGGTCTGCGTCTTGACTATGGTGATGGCAACACAACCCTTTCCCTCGATTTAAACTTACTCATTTGTACAAGGATCCTGGGCAGTGCTAGAAGCTTGTACAAGGTAGAGTAGGGGGGTCAGTGACATGGTCACTGTCACTCACTGCTGCCTGGGCTGGGCGAGGTGCTCAGGAAAGCCAGGGGATGATGTTTGAGAAGAGTGACCAGACCAAGGGGGCATAGCAGGCGCAAGGCAGGGAAGCATGAAGGAGCCTGACAAGGTGAGCAACCTCTGCCACCCCCTGGACTGGCCAGACCTCCTCTGAGGTGGGGCAGTCACAGCCCAGAGTCTGACAGGGAACCTCTAGGTCCTCGCGCGTTCTTTGTACAGGAGTCAGGCCTGAGCTGCTGAGCACTGGGGTGGAGAGAGGGGAGTGTGCACAGCTGGCCACTCTCCTGTTGGAGCTGCCAGCCCTCTGGCTGAGCCTTCCAGTAACCTCTGGCTTGCAAGGCCCTGCCCTCTTCCTGAGTCTCTGCCTCCTTCAGCAGGGCCGACTCGCCAGCCATCTAGTCAGCCCTTCTCTCCTCTCCTTGGCCTTGCTTCTTTCTGAGTTGGGTGTCTTTGGGGTCCCCCACCCTGGAAATGTGGGTTCTGGGAAATAGCACCAGCTTTGGAGTCCCAGAGAACTAGCTTTGCATTTTAGACCCAGAATATGATAGTTCTTGTGACTTCTTTGAGCCTCAGTTTCCATGTCTACAAAATTGTAGCTAAACATGTCTTCATCTAAAGATTTTATTCATGGAAACACCAAATCAGGTGAGGTACACACTGAACTGTCTGGTGCTCAGGAAGTGTTTTTGAGGTGACCTTGAGAGTTCTTGCTGAGTGAGCCCATGTTGAACCCAAGTGCCCAAGACTCCATCACTGGCTGCTTGTGGCTTTTCAAAGTATGTCACAGAGTATCACTGCCTGACAAGTCCTTGGCCCCACTTCCTGTATGCCACTTAGCTCCCCACGGCTGCCTGCCAGGCTTCCACCTGAGTCCAGGCTCCTGCCCTGGTGCCTTGTCCGTCTCAAGAGCATGAAGCTCCAGCACTCATGTTCTTAACCACCAGAGAGGTTATCTGCAATCACAGCTTCCACCGTGGCCCAGTGCTGTGTGAGGTGCTCTCTAGCCATTGTGCTCTGCCAGCGTAACTGCAGTTCTCTGATGTTGGGATTTTATCTTTGATTTACAGACAAAGAAATGGCGGGTCAGAGAGGTTTGGTCACATGCTGGTAGGTGGTCAAGCCAGGATTTGAGCTTTGGGCTGTCTAATCCCAAACCAAACTGTGCTCTTTTCAGGCTACTGAGTGGCATCCGTCACATTTCCTGAGCACCTGGGCTGTCAGCACTTCCCACTATACCTCATTTAATTTAACGAGGACCCAGGGAGGCAGATGCTGTGATTGCCATTATACAGATTAGGAAACTGGGGCTCAGCAGGGCAGAGTCATGGCACAGAGTACCCTAGGGATGCAGCCAGACTCACCCAGGTCAGTGTGATCCCAAAGCACAGGTCTTTATGCCTGCAGGCCATGGGTTAGCTCTTTTATCTCTTTTGTCATTGCTTTCATGTCTCCTTTCTTTCCCTCTTTGGGTCCTATTGTTTCTTAGCGACTGACAGAAGCATTTCATACTTTGGGTTTATTAATTAAGCCTTTCCTGCCAGAGTTTGCTGTTTGCCCTTCTGGTGGGTTTGACCTACTCTCAGGTGTGGACCCTGACTTTATCCTTGGTTCCCTCTGGAATTCGGGGTGGGGTGAGGGGCAGTGATGAAGATCACTGGACTTTAGGGAAATGTGGGAATATGGAGATACAGTTGCAGAAATACGAGTAGCCCTGGAACGCCAGGCTTTGATTCTGCCCTTTAATGTCAGTCTCACGCTCCTCTTCTCCTCTTTCTCCTGCTCTAAATTTTTAGAAGACAAACTAATCAAGAAAAACATTCTGTGCTTTTCCTTTTTATTTTTCTTTGGTCTTTGCTCTGTAATAGGAAGACTGTAAGAAATGCCTACAGAAGGGCTTGAATTGGGAATAGAGCTTTGGTGACGGGAACTGATGGCTAGACATCAGGTAGGTGGGAACATTGATGGGATTTGGTGAATACTTCTTGGTGCCCTTCCAGGGGAGGAGTCAAAGGTGAAAGGGTGGCCAGGAGGGTGTTGTGCCCTGGATCCCTGGGGGAGCCTGGGAGGCTGGTTCTGTTCAGTGGGAGGAGAGTTCCTCTCTGGGACATAGTGGCTTGACGGTTCAGCTGAGCTTCTGAGGCTTCCACCAGAATGGGCCAGGGAAGAGTGGCCCAGGGCAAGTGCAATTTGGGTGGGGCATGGGGTTTGGAATTGTTGGATGCAAGAAACATAGATTTGATCAGGGTATTTTTTTATTATTGCTCTTTAGTTCAGGATTCCTTAGGAAGCCTTCTGGAATGCTGAATAGTCAGCTGTCCTGCGGTCAGGTCCTTCCTTTGTCTCTCCTGGGCACACTCTCCATCTCTTTCATCTTCCCTTGCCTCCTTCTCCTTTGCTATTAGTTGGGTCATTCTTCTTCTTCTTCTTTTTTTTTTTTTCTGAGACGGGGAGTCTGGAGTGAAGTGGCACAATCTCTGCTCACTCGTCTCCACCTCCTGGGCTCAAGTGATTCTCCTGCCTCAAGCCTCCGGAATAGCTGGGACTACAGGCATCCGCCACCACACTCAGTTAATTTTTTTTTTTTTGTATTATTAGTAGAGATGGGTTTTGCCATGTTGACCAGGTTGGTCATGAACTCCTGACCTCAGGTAGTCCATCCGCAGCGGTCTCCCAAAGTGGTAGGATTATAGGCGTGAGCCGTGGCACCCAGCTGCATCGAGTCATTCTTCTGCGTGTTCCTGACTGGCCCTGGTGGCTCCCTTATCGCAGGGCTTCCTGAGTTTTTTCTGTGTGCGCGGATGAGCAGGTGGGAGGTGCTATGTGACATGAGGGTCTCTTGCCCAGCACTGGGTGTGTTAAGTATTGTTGGACTGGCCAGGTGTGGTGGTTCACGCCTATAATCCCAGCACTTTGGGAGTCCGAGGTAGGCGGATCAGTTGTGGCCAAGGATTTAAGACCAGCCAGGTTAACGTGGTGAAACCCCATCTCTACTAAAAATACAAGAGTTAGCCAGGCGCGGCAGCCAGCACCTGCAATCCCAGCTACTCTGGAGGCTGAGGTGGGAGGATCGCTTGAACTTGGTGGGTGGAGTTTGCAGTGAGCGGAGATCGTGCCACTTCACTCCAGCCTGGGCGACAGAGCGAGACTCATCTCCAAGACAAAACAAAAAAATTGTTAGATGAGGTTCCTGACTGAGTGAAAGTCAGAATTTTTAATGTGCCCGAGAAAGATACGTGGCACTCAAGTTTTCCTAGACTTGGGGCGCTTCTCGCCTGTGACTTCCTGAGATTGGAGCCGGCTCCGGGACACCTAGGAGGGACCCCTTCTGGGCGGGGTGGGGGCGGCTACGAGCCATAGGCCACACCGCTTCAGAGTGCTGGTTGGTCTGTGGATGGCATCATGTGCTCATTCTGGACAAATCAGAGCCTTCTGTGGCTGCAGGACGCCCGTCCCACCTGGGCAGGGCTGTGACCCGCATTGGAGAGAAGCGTGGGTGGGTGGCGCCTGCCGGGGATAATTAGGGTGGTTGGGCTGCCTCGGAGAGTGCGGGCGTCTGTGAAGGAAGGATGTAGGTGGAGAGGAGGTGGTCTCACCTCCGCATGCTCCGTGAAAAGCGGCGGAGGCAAGGCGCATGGCGTCCTTCCCACTCTGCTATGGTGGAGGCTTACGAGGTAATTCTCCTGATTCGAGTTTCCACTCTGCATTCTCCTGTTGGTTCCTTGGTGACTGGAGGCGTCTGGGCTGTTCTCCGCTCCTGGCCACCTATAGCAACTCGTGTCAAGAATGCCGTGCTGCTCCTCCGCAGGGTGGCATGGGCCTCGGGGGCTGCCTTGGTTGGCTAGAGATGCGGGCAGGGCCTAGGGGCCTCCTTGGTTAGAGACGGCCAGGGCCTGGGGCTGGCACCTCCTTGGTTAGAGACTTGGGGGTGTGGGGATGGCGCCTCCTTGGTTAGAGATGGGGCCTGGGTCTAGGGATGGCTCCTACTTGGTTAGAGATGTGGGCAGGGCTTGAGGGCAGTGCCTCCTTGGTTAGAGAGGGTCTGGGGGTGGTGCGTCACTGGTTAGAGATGGCGGGGCCTGCGGATGTCTCTTCCTTGGGTAGAGATGCGGGCAGAGCCTGGGGGCAGCGCCTCATTGGTTAGAGATGCTGCCTACACCTGGGGGTGGTGGTACCTCCTTGGTTAGAGACGCAAGCAGGGCCTGGGGGGTGGTGCCACCTTTATTAAAGATGGCCCAGGCCTGGGAGGTGGCGCCACCTTGGTTAAAAATGGGGGGCCTGGGAGTAGCGCCTCCTTTGTTAGAGATGGCTGGGCCTGGGGGTGACACATCCTTAGTTAAGGAAGGAGGGCCCGGGCCTGGCAGCTGCGGAGTGGCTCTTGCCTTTCAGAGACAAAGAGGGAAAGGGCAAGAGGTGTGGGATTTGCTCAAGAGCATGGCCAGGGCCCCTGCTGGGAGCAGAGCCAGGCTTCTTACTTCTCAGAGCTTCCGTAAGGGCCTTCCTGGCAGGGTTGGGGGGGAGCGCTCATGGGGAGGATGTGGATGCAGCCCCCTTGCCCTGGGCCTGGAGTGAGCTCCTCTCCACTGCAGCCTGGGCCGCGCCTGGCTGGGAAGCCTGTGGGGTGGCTAGTTCGCCCTCCTCTGGCTGCTGCCTTCTTCTGGGTTCTCCCTGCCTGGCTCCCTCTCCTGAAGCTCTGAGACCCATCCGTTTGTGGGGAGACCATCCTGCTGTGTGGCACTGTGGGCATGAGAATCCTCCCTTTCCTAGGTGACTTCATTTTCAGGTTTTCTTTCAATGTGGAGATACCTTTTGAGAACTAATTTTCCAACTTTTAAAGACACCTTAGATGTATAATGAGGGAACATTTAGGGAATTGTAGTTACAGGGTAACTATAGACTTTATTGTTTTTTCTATTTAATACTCCAGATGTCTTCTAGGGAGAAAGGCTTTGGTTACATGGACACCTTTTATTTATTTATTTTTTGAGCCGGAGTCTCGCTCTGTTACTAGGCTGTAGTGCAGTGGCATGATCTCGGCTCACTGTAACATCCGACTCCCAGGTCCAAGTTACTCACCTGCCTCAGCCTCCTGAGTAGCTGGGACTACAGGCGTTCAGCTAATATTTTGTATTTTTAGTAGAGATGGGGTTTCACCATGTTGGCAAGGATGGTCTCCATCTCCTGACGTGATCTGCCCACCTTGGCCTCCCAAAGTGCTGGGATCACAGGCGTGAGCCACCACGCCCGTCGGACACCTTTTATTCTTTGAGCCAACTTGATTTGAGGATTCCAGTGGGGAGAGGACACGAGTACATGAGAGCTGAAGTTTCTGCAAATAAAAGAGCATGGATTTGGAGCTTATGGAGCCTTCAGAGAGGCAGGGAAGACCCGGCAGTGGGAAGGAGAGGCGGACGAGCCAGGTGAATGGCTGAAGGGAGCCTGTTCTATTCTTCAAAACTGAAGGCATGTTGGAGATCGAGTTTGTTCTCATTTAACCTTTTATTATGACATAATTTATACTTACAGAAAAATGGAAAGAGTAGTACAGAAACTTTTCCTGTGGCCTTCGTGTCTTGAGCGATAGTGTTTGACTACATTGCTTTGTCCTCTCAGCCATTTGGGATAAAGTTGCAGAACTAATGCGCCTTTACCTATTCCTAAGTATCTTCAGTGTTTATTTCCTAAACACACGGCAACCACATTTCAGTTATGAAAGTGAGAAACAACATCAGTGCAATGGTCCTCTTCATGTTCCGCTGATTGTCCCAGGGACACCCTTGACCACGGAAGAGCACCCCAGCCATGCACTGCATTTCCTCACCGTGTCTCCTCTTTCTCTGAATCTGGAGCGCTTCCTCTGGCCTTGTGTTTCACAGCATAAATATTTTTGTGGAGTATGGGCCGGTTCTTCTGTAGACTCTGCCTCCTTCTGGCTTTGTATAATGCTGCCTCGTGAGTGGATTTAAATTCTGCATTTCTGGGCAGGAATACCAAGAAATAATGCTGCGTTCTCAGCGCACCGTAGCAGAAGGCATGTGATCGTGATTTGTCCCATTACTGGTGATGCTACACATTCGAGGAGGTCAGGTTTCTCCCCTGTGACGTTACTGTATTTCCCCTTTGTAATGAAATGCCTTACGGTGAGGGCGAACCAGCCATGGCCCAGGCTTCCATGCCAGGTGCGGCCCAGGCTCCAGTGGAAATGAGCTCTCTCCAGGCCCAGGGTAAGGGGGTTGTGTCCAATCCTCCCCAGGAGGCCCCTGGCCAGGAAGGCCCTTACAGAAGCTCTGAAAAGTGAGAAGCCTGGCTCTGCTCCCAGCAGGGGCCCTGGGCATGCTCTTGAGCAAATCCCACACGTGTTTATCCTGCTGCTCCTCACTCCAAGGATGTTTTTCATTTGGTAGTTTCGGTATCCATTGATGATTCTTGCCAGAGTCGATTAGCGTCAGGATGGCTGTCACATGATGGGTTTCTAATTCTGTCATTTCTTCTGCATTTACTAGTTGTCTTCTCCCACTCCCCATTTTATTGAGGTATAATTACCAAAAATTGTATGTAAGTAAGGAATACAATATGATGCTTTGATATAGGCATACGTTGTGAAATGATCACCATATTAGAATAGCCGTACCTCACATTGTTACCATTTTGTTTTATTAGTTGTCTGTGTAAGCAAGAACGTTCTCTTTCCCTTTATCTATTTATGTTTCCGTAGACTCAGGAATGCTTATTTTAGTCAGTGGTCTGTAATCCTTTCTCATTGTTTAATTTGGTGCTCAGATGGCCCTATATTTGGCCAGCTGCATTAAAGTGGGCCTTGGTATTCTTTGAGTGTGCCCCCGCTTTTGTGGGGACTTCCTTGTTTTCTGGTACCAGATATTCTGGGCTCATTCTGCGCTTTCCCTGTGTTCAGCTCTGGAATCAGCTATTCCTACAGGAGACCTGGTTTCTTTTAGTGGAGAGTGGCATTTAGAAAGTGAGATCAGGGAACTAGGTGAGCTGGGTTTCACTGCTTCTCTGCACCCTCAGAAACACAGCTGGGAAACAGAGGTGTGTATGTATGTAAACCTTAGATACATACATGCATCTACACTCAGACATGCCTACGCAATCTGTATTTCCCTCTTAAAAATCATTGAGTTCACGTGGATTTTTCCAGTTGCAATTCAACAACACAGAGTATATTCTATCCTTTCTCCTTTTCATGTTTATAACACCCTTCTCTGAGAAAGAAAAATCTAGACCTCAGTATCCACAGTATTGTTACTTATTTGCTCAACCCTGGAATATACTAAAAATAGTTTCAGAATCAGGAAGCCATGTCTTTGTGAAAAGGAAGCCTGCTACCTAGAGTTCAGTATTTAATGAGAGCTCTTCTCTTTAGCCTGAGGCATATGGTGTAAACAGCAGCTTCCGAAGTTCCTTGGGTTCGTCGTCTCTTATTTCAATGCCATTATGGTTATCCATTTAAAGTATGGTTTTGTTCATTTATTTGTATTTTGTTTTAGGGTTTCCTCCCATACTTGTTTATTTTATTTACTTTCATTCTTTTACTATGTGAATTTTGGAGGTGAGTGTCTTTCAGTGAAAGGACTGAGTTTTGCTTCTTTTTGCTTGTGAGCCCTGAACAGGGAATGGCAGAGGGCTGAGGGTGTGAGTTTCCAGGAAGGAGTAGAAGCCCTGAGTGGCTGTGGCACTAAAGGGACTTACCCCGTTGAGGTAGAGCTGAGGCGCACCTGCTGACACCTGGATTCTGAAACCCTTCAGTGAGCCTCTTTCTCCAGCTTTGTCTTGGTTCTGGTTTCTCTTTCTTCAAACCACCATTCTGATTTGCGTTGATTCCCGTTTTATAAATGAGGAGTCAGAGGGTCAGAGAAGTTGTGTTTTCAACGTTGCTGGGGATTGGACTGGGGGCTTTCCCACCCTGAGCCTGGTCTTTCTTCCTCGGCACACCTTCTCCTTTTTCTTTGAAGTGAGAGTTAGGAATGACTTCGTGTGGATTATTCTCAGGGATTCCTTGGTAAACAGTCTGGAAGTGTTCTGGTCTTCATGACAAAGGAAATGTGGCATTTTTTTTTTGGTTTATAGGTAAATATCTTTCATATCTTTAACGTGGAGCTTTTAAAGCACTTTACTATATTTTGAATTAAATGATATTGATGATGTTGGAGCTTACAGTCTATTGAGGGAGACAGGTTAAACCAATACACACACCATTAAATACAGAATGGCAAATTGTGGTCATACTACAAGGCAAATAAGCAGGAGGGGGTACTGGAGACCTCATTAATATTGAGGGGGATTTACGAAAAGTCTCTCTGAGAAAGCTAGGGTGGAGCTGAGACTTGAAGAATGAGGTTCCTGAATTAATAAAAAGCCTGAAAAACAGCGAGCAGGTGCTTGCTTACATTTCCTCCTCACCTTGCAAAATTGCAAGCCTGCAGGCCAGAACAAGTGCCCTGTGGCCAGAGTTCTCTTTTGTCCTTTATCGCCCTCTAGGGGACATGTGTGTGAATGGACCTGCTACAGGTGGCTTGGGAGACACCGTGTCTGTGGAGGCGCCGGCTGCAGTGGAGACTGGCCACCTGGCCACCACCACAGTGCTGACCCTGCCTGAGCATGGGGCTGAAAGGCCAGGATGCCAGGCCTGCAGGGGAGAAGACCAAGGGCCACT